GGAATGTATATTATATATATAGGTACAGATATAGGTAGGTATATTTAAAGACACATATGAAAGCATGTATACACATGCACTCTGTATAATATATAACATGTTCTGTATTTTGAAATATATATTACCTAGTATATATTACATGTATTTAATACCTGTTTATATGTTTTACTTCTGTGTAATTTAAAATGCATATAAAAACGTGTGTACAAGACCTCTTCAATATATTACGCCCAGGTGCCCAGGCTGGGCAGGGGTTACTCTTATGGGGGGAGGCAGGTGGGAAGCACAAGGAGAAAAATATAAAAATCCATTTACTCAATTAAATGATGCTGCATTCAGGCATCAGATTGTGTTTTAAGTCACCCTTTATCCCCTCTAGAATAAAGAGCTGATTATAAAAAAGGGAGGATGAACCCTTCAGATTGAAAACCAGCTTAAGGTATTTTAATGCAAAGCTGCTCTGGGGCACATCAGGACCCCGCTGTGTTATAAAAGGTTGTGTTTCTGGGGAGGGTTACCTGCATTGGCTCCACTGCTGCTGGGGCTCCAGGAGAAGACCCATGCACTCCTCCAACAGCTCCCAGGAGCCCCAAAGTAACGGGACCCCGGGGCCTTTCGATGGCCCCCAGTGGCCCCACCAGGCCCCGCGGGCCATGTACCTGTTGGTGGCCGTGCTGATGGGCATCGTTGTGGTGTCTGCCTCGGTTGTGAACGGCCTGGTCATCGTGGTGTCTGCCAGGCACAAGAAGCTCCGGTCGCCCCTCAACTACATCCTGGTCAACCTGGCCGTGGCCAACCTGCTGGTGACGCTGTGCGGCAGCTCTGTCAGCTTCTCCAACAACATCAACGGCTTCTTCGTGTTCGGCAGACAGCTGTGTGAGCTGGAGGGCTTCATGGTCTCCCTGACAGGTAAGGACATGGGCCTTGAGACCTGGTTTGGGCTTTGGTTGGTGCCACTGCATTTAGCAAAGAAACTCTGGGAGATGTTTTGTCAGTTTGCTGCTTCTGGAGGCAACATTTCTATGTGCAATGTGAAACTGGTGTCCGTCAGCTGTTCTTTAGCTGTGGTTGGCTGTGCCAAGTCACCACGCAATCTGTCATGGTTGTCATGAGGAGGGAAACATCACTTGGGCACATTGGGAGTCCTGGCTTCACAGGTGGCAACTGCCGTGTCCGCACACAGGTGTTTGTGTGTGCACCAGAAACAGCACAAAAACCTTGTATTGAGGAGATTCCATGGTCGTAACCACGAGGTGTCACAGACACGCAACTGCCAGCTTCATTTTGTAAAAGCCAAATACCCTCGCAGCTCTCCCTGCGATAAGAAAAACGCTTGACATCTTATTACAACAACGTTTATTCCAACAGCTCATAATCGCCATTCACAGTGTCCCAGAGCCTGTTCCCAAGCCACAAACCCTCCTCCTCCTCCTCCTCCCCAGGCATCGTGGGGCTGTGGTCGCTGGCCATCCTGGCCTTCGAGCGCTACGTTGTGGTCTGCAGACCCCTGGGCAATTTTCGGTTCCAGCACCGGCACGCCCTCAGCGGCTGCGCCTTCACCTGGAGCTGGTCACTGCTCTGGACCACCCCACCGCTCCTGGGCTGGAGCAGCTACGTGCCTGAAGGTAGGGAATGTGAGCACAATTCCACAGCTGCGCATCGTTTTCAAACGCAGGGTGGTTGGAGAGTCCCTATTCTGCTGTTGAAATGTTAATGCCTCCTGCTTGCTCAGCCATTAGTCCTCTCACAGAGGCTGTTCTACAGAGGCTGTTCTTCAGAAGCTGCCCACTGCACACCTTGCTGCAGCCATTCCTCCGTGTCTGATGGACACGGGAACCATGGGCTGCTCTGGCCCACACTGAGCAGCACCCAGCCCAAATCTGCTCAGGTAGAGGCTTGGCAGAACACTGCATGTCACAGCAAAGCATCCTCCACGGAGCAGTTGGCCAGCCAAAAACCGCAGTGGCTGCTCTCCAGGTCATTGGAGGTGGAAAAGTGGGAGGTGCTGAGGCAGCATCACTGGAAGGGGGCAGCTGTTACTTCGGAGCAGATTACCCAGCCCAGGAGCGTTTAGGCTTGGTCCAAAACTTATTTGTTCCAGGTCTGAGAACCTCTTGCGGTCCCAACTGGTACAGCGGTGGCAGCAATAACAACAGCTACATCTTGGCCCTGTTTGTCACCTGCTTTGTGATGCCCCTCAGCCTGATCCTCTTCTCGTACACCAACCTGCTGATGACCCTGCGAGCGGTGAGTAGGGCGAGGGCAGCTGAGCCAATGGTTTGCCGCTCACAAAAAGCTGCTGAGGCCCATGGCTGTTGGGATGGAGATCTTCACAGCAGGTTTGTGTGGCAGTTGATGGAGCTGACATCTCCTGGTGCTGATGTGAGGGCCCCTAAGGGGTGGCGATGCCGTTGGATGTTGTTAACAGACATCTCTCTCTCTCTCCTTTCAAACCTCCCCATAGGCAGCGGGGCAGCAGCAGGGATCAGACACCGTAATCAGACACGACACAGCAGGCGGAGCGGGAGGTGACGCGCATGGTGATCACGATGGTGGTGGCCTTCCTCATCTGCTGGCTGCCCTACACCACCTTTGCCCTGGTGGTGGCCACCAACAAGGACATCACCATCCAGCCCGCTCTCGCCTCCCTGCCCTCCTACTTCTCCAAGACAGCCACGGTTTACAACCCCATCATCTACGTCTTCATGAACAAACAGGTGAGGGAGAAAGTCCTTAGCTGAGGAAACAACAGCTTCACTGGGGCTTCTGGAGAACTTAACATTGTAAAATGTGGAGGAACCATCTATCCTATCTGGAAGTGCAGACACAGGCTACATCTGGGAGTTGCTGTATAAGTGGCAAGGTTTGGGGGAATAAAATGGAAAGGGAAGGAGCAGCCTCCAAGCCTGAACAAGCTTTCACGATTTTATGGGGTCAGGGAACTTAATTTTAGATCACAAACTGCTCATTGAACACATAAAGCAAACAGAATGAAACTTTTATTGTCAATAAACTGCCAGGGTCTGCAAAGAGTTGGGCTGGGAGTTAATACAGATCTCACCCAAAATACAAGGTGCTGAGGAGCACCCACCATGCAGCCCCTGTCCCAAAACCCCTTGTTTCTTCCACAAGGCCCAAAATGCCTTTTCCCTGCCCAGTTTCAGAGCTGCCTGCTGAAGATGCTGTGTTGCGGGTACCACTGCTGGGGGGCCCGAAAAATCACTGCAACTGCCCCTGGCCCCCACAAGGGCATCGCTGCTGAGGGGCTGCGGAACAAGGTGGCACCGGCTCAGCCTGTCTAAACACAGCACAAGGTGACACCGTCTGACCACAGCCAGGTTCTGCCTGCACCTACGGCAGCTTCAGGCTCAGCCTGGCCCACCCAACCTCCTTCGACACGGGCATGGAGGACATGGGTGGCTCTGAGAGGTTTGAGAGGTCCCCAGCAACCCTCACGCTGCTCCCCAGAAAGACACAGCCTTGTCCTCTCGTGGGAGAGGGGCCACCAATCATGGGATAAACCAGAAACTTCGAAATGTCCCTCACCTTGCAGAATCAGGAGACTTAAGAACAAAACAAAAAAAATGGAGTAGTTTTTCCTTGATGTAGAACATCCCAAGCTGCTGCTGGGCCCTGCGGTCAGCTGTGACACCCCCTCCACAAGGCAGGGCCACACGATGGCCATCCCCAGAGAGCCCAATCGCGCTGGCATCGCCCCGTCTCGCTGGGAAGTTCGAGGTCACGCGGTGAAACTGGCAAAAATGCAGCAGGTATGTTTAAGTGCAAACATTAATAAATACTGAGAAACACTGAGGAGTTCACGTGCGTCTGTTTCACCAGCTGATAAGAGGGTTCGACAGAAAACACTGCTGCCGCTACAGCTGCCACCTCTTCTCTGGTGGCAAGTGCCACATATGGCATCGTAACAGATAGCAAGAAAAAACCCAGTTCAAACACAAAGTTCTATTTTTTCATATATTTAAGGCAGTGAGGAAAGGTCTTAAATCCACCGATTTCCCAGCAAGGGTGTAAACACAGGCAGGAACAGGCGCTGAGGACAAGGCACAGCAGAGCCACTGCTGCCCAAACAGCCGGGACGCTGACAGAAAGCAAAAAAATGCCTGTAAGAAAAAATTAAGACAAAGACAACTCCACAGGGTTCCACAGCTCCACATCTGATCCAAATCTCAAAACACACCATTTATTTTCACCGGCTGCAGTTACACTTCTCATGCGACTGAGGAGCCCATGGATGAGGCACTGCAGACAGCGATCCCCTGAGACTATCAAAATCTTCTATCTTTAAAATTGCTATCAGCAGCTCGTCTGCCTTCATAGTTAATTGTCTTCCAAAATTTGATTCTGAGCACTGAAACTGCTTTCAGGATGAGACTGATGCACAGTCACAAGATTTAAATGTTCCCTCTCCCCTCCTCAGTTTTGTTTCTATCAAGCCCAAATCACGCCTCGCTCCTCTCCTCCTCCCACCACCTTCCAGCTTTTGCTGCTGCAGCAAAGCCCTGAAGGGGTGAGAGGGAAGCAACGCAGTCCACGACCAGGTGATGGGCAGCCAGAAAGGCTATTGGGACTGATGATGAGATTTTGGAAGACAGAGGGATCTTTTTTTCCTCTGAGATTTTCTGCTCCAAAACAACAAAACAGAAATCCCCAAACCAAGACAGTAGGAGGACAAGCACAAGCGAGCTGAAATGCGGCTGCTTGGAAAAACACAGCACCCACAGCCAGGGCCACATCCTCGGAGCGGGGGCACAGGACGCTCATCCTCACCCCATCCCCATGTCCCAACCTTCTGTTCTCCGCTCGCTTACCCCATGCAAACGGCTCACACGCTAGCAGCTCAGAGAGGAATTAGAACAGCTCAGTATCACTGTTTTAATTTAATTAATTTGCCTTTCATTCTCAGGCAAAAGCTGCATTGGATGGGCCCCCTCTGATCTTCTCTGCTGTCTTTCACTAGTCCTTGCTGAATTCTTCCTGTTAATTACAGCTTTTGTGCCTTTGTGTGTGCTTTCTGTTATTAGGATGATTTACATTTGTGCTAGACTTAAATCTGGAAAAGTACAAGCAGCTGAAAAGCTGCAATCTCTAACTGCTGCATCCTGGCCTCGATAAGGAGAGCAGATAGGCTACGGGATGACTTGAAAGGCTCTCTTCTACCAACAGAAATAAAAATTCTCCACATTAAGATTAAAAAAAGATAGGGAAATGGTCCGCAGTCTGCTCACCATTTGGTCTGACAGATAAAATAGAAAAAGAGATCCAAGCAGCTAAGGAGATTTCACGTTGCACACCAAAGTAATACATCACTACGTGCATGTAAAAATACACGTGTGCTGGCTCCACTCCACCACACTGCTGCAGCCCTGCAAGTTTTAATTACTTTTTGTTTAATTTAGCAAGTCTAGAAAACCTAACAAAACACTGCCCAAAGTGAGAGAGAACGACCCTCAGCTACTCGGCATTAGGGGTAAGAAATTACTAAGGACAGAATCACCAATACATTTGCCGTTTAACTTTTGCATGTGTTTGTCATCACCCTCCGTTCCTTGCAACACAACCCAGCGCTTTGCCAGCCCCGTGCCGATGTGAGGCAGGATCTTGGTCCAGCAGCGTCTATCAAGTGTAACGTTCCTCTGCCTGCTGCAAGGACAGAACTCAGACAGAGGAAATCAGGTCCCTGCAGTTGATACGAGCCCAGGTTAGAAAATATTAAACTTTTGCCTGGACAAAATTGTGTAATACGCACAAGTGAGCCCCATTCCCCACACACTGGCACTGCTGTGAGGTGCAGAACTCAAACTGCAGCCTCCTTGCTGCTGGTGCTTCTGCTCCATCACTACCACAACATGACTGAATGGAAGAAAGATTTTTAAATTTTTCTTGATCTGAGAAAAGCTCCCCCAGGTCTGCCAGTTCAGAGCATCTTCCCTGGAGTAGCTCTAGTTGCATACACAGTCTGATGATGGGAAACAGTAACAAGTAAAAAACAAACCCCTCAAAAGAACCTCCAAAAGCAGAAAAATAACCACATGGCAGCACAATAACCTTAGAAACCTTTATTAGTATCATTAAACCGAATTAACTAACAGTTACAGATGGGCAGCATTTCCC